GGTTGACGGTTGGACTCGATGATCTTAGAGGTCTTTTCCAACCTCAATGATTCTATGATTCTATTTTAACAGATTTTGGTCTACCCTCCCTAAGACCTGAGATCTGCCCTGGCAGTGGCCCTGGGTTTTTCTTTCTAACGTGCCTGTGCTAACCTGGACGGAAGACAGCAGCAGGGCTCTTGAGAATGCTTTTTAATTCACTGTTTGTACACTAAGTTATATTATGCTGCAGGAAGTTAAAGACTCGGAGGAGGCAGCTATCCATCATTAGTGTTATTAGTAATGAACAAAGTAGGTAAACACGTAAAAAATAATGTGCCTAGACTGTTTTTCATTTGGGTTTTGGAGGGGTTTTGGGGGTTTTTTGTTGTTTGGTTTTGGTGTGGTTTTTTTTCTTTTTTTTAGCTTTAGCAATGCCTGCACCATTTATTCATTGATTCATGCATGTGCATTTTTTTTGTGACTATCTGAACAACAGAACTCCATGAATTCAACTCAAAAGTAGCCACAGCATTTCTCAAAACAAACAGGAAAAGCTTGTAAATTGATGTGTTAGTGCCAGCATGCCACCACCCTGAATTACATTGGTACCTGAACAATGACACCTAAGCAGCATGCTCAGGACCTAAATACTGACTGTCAAATTCTTGTGGTAAAGCAAAATTTGTAGACATCACTATTGCTCAGAGATCACAAGAAAACATTTTAAATTCTTTGTGGACAATTTTTTTGTAAATAATTTGCTTATTTTTGCAAATGAATTTGTTAGGACCTGATTGAAGAATGAGTGAAGCCATCAATTCAGGGGACAAAGGTTCAGGTCCATGGTGAAGTCCCATCAGTGCTACAGGGAAGCTGTCAGACAATGTTCAAAAGTCACTTTGAAGAGTCATTTTAATATAAATTGTGTTAATGTTTTATACGGCTACAAAAAGCAAAGGTGTTTTTTCTCTTCCGATCCATCAGTCTGCCCTCTGATGTCACACACGCACCATTTGTTTTGACTTTAAACCCAAATTCTTCTCTTTTTTTACAGGGTAATGAAATAATTGATGTATCAACTGACTGTAAGTCAGTGTCTTCTCTGGACAGCTGCAGTTTAGCAAACAGGAGTATACATATATATACACAAATATATATGTATGAACAGGAGTACACACATACATGTGTATATACATATATTACATATATGTATACTCCTGTTTGCTAATTATGTATATACACCCACATATATATGTATATGTATAGCCACAAAGATCCTTTCAGTATTTCTACAAATTATCTTTCAATTCACTTGGTATTACAAATGCCGTTATAACAGTATTTACCAAAAAAGGGGCATAACACCATAAAATAATAGTAAGTGGAAACAGAATCTGGCCCTGAGAGACCTGACATACATTTAAACATCAGAAAATAAAGTGCATGCAAAATGATAGTTAAAAAAATACGACTGGAGAGTGCTGCACCACTTTCTTATGCCATAGTCTTAGAAGAGTCTCTGTGAGCCTGAACAGATTTTCATCTTCAGGTAGATGTGCATTTATCTCTGACCCCAGTGTTACCTGTTTCTGCATTGGAAATGAAGAGGAGGGTGTGTGGGCAAGGAAGCTGTTCTTTCAAAATATGTTCTTAGCAAAAAAAAAAAACCAAAAAAACAAACAAAAAAAAAAAAC